TACATCAAGTGCAACTCGTGTCCCTTGTGTTATCTTTTTCTTATCTATACTATTTCTACATCCAACTACATAATGTGGTCCTAGTGATACTTTAACAATATATTTCTCTTCACTTAAACATTTTAATACTTCTCCAATTGACATCCCTATAGCTTGTAACGATAATAACATTTCTTCATTTCTGACCATATTCTCTTTACTCACTTTTAATGTCTCTTTTATTTTTTCTAATGCCTCTTTTTTTGCTTCGTATGTTTTCAATTTCTGTAAATATGCCTTTAATACACTTTTTCTTTCTCCATCAATTTCCATTTCTTTTGTTTTTTCTTTATTCCTTTTGAAGTTTTCCTTTTTTTTTTTTTTTTTTCTTATCTTATTTTCATCATTTTCATCATTCAATCTCTTCCTTATCACTTCTTTTCTATCGATTATGATACCTCTCCACCATACCTTATAAGTTAAGTGGAATAAACTATAAGTGACTTACAAAACAATGAAACTAATAAACAAGAAAAAGAGTGAGAGAAAAATAGAAGAAATAAAAATAAAGATATAATATTTGAAAGAAGTAAGAAAAAAATGATTAATGAAATAAATATAAAGTATAAATTGGATATAAAGAAGTTTTTAAATTTCAAAATAATAAGATAAATATTTAATTTTAGAGTGATGAAATAAAACAATAAAAATGATAGAAAGCGAATAATTAAGTGTTATTAATAATGAATAGAAAGAAGAAAGAGTAAATTAATAAATTAAAGTGGATAGGAATAATGATATAACCTATTGATAAAGATTAATGTAATAAATAATGTATAATGAAATAATTAACAATGGTATATTTTATTATTTATAAAATGGTTAGATTCATATAAAATTAATAGAATAATAGATAATAGAGTAATAAATAAAAATGCCATGAATAAACTTAACCAAGAAATTTAATAACATATTTCAAAAAGTCATAGATAAAATGATGGTTATTGTCATAATGAAAAATGAATAAAGGAAAATGAAGTAATAAGAAATACAGAAATGATAGATAAATTATTAAAATAAATTCAAAAAACATCTAAATTCATAGAAACAAAATAAGAAAAAATTTAATAAATAAAAAGTAGTTAATTAAGTATTAATAGAACTTGTGTCTATTGTTCCTTGCTCAGGGGAGACTAATCCCATCCCTTCGCCTAAAAGTATTTGTTCTTCAACTATTAGCTTATTCTTTGCTTCTAGTTGTTGAACGGTGAGAATTTTCTTTTCTCATTTTTGATGTGGAATAGAGTATTTTAAACATCCCTTATTTAGATATTCATTATTAAATTTCTTTTTAATTTCGATGGGTTTAAATTTCTTCTTCTTTATTTTATTATTTTAAGGAGAATATATAATTACTACTGTATTGCTTTGGGCTAATATTCTTTTAGCCTCATCCACTTGACCCTTTTCCTTTGATAATCTTTCTTATATTATCAATTATACTTGTATTCTAACAAGTAATAATAACATCTTTATAAATACCCATTCGTTTATTGTCAATGATATTCTGTCATTGTACATAATAAACACTGCTATTCTTGCAGTACTGGGTAAGATGTTTTTCTAACCAAACGCAACGCCATAACCAGTCCATGACTGGTGGGAATTGAAGGATGGAAATATTTTAGGGTTCTGTGTGGTGTCTCTGACGTGCTACCTTCGAATCCAAATAAGAAAAAATTTAATAAATAAAGAGAATAATAGGCAATTAATTAAGTGTTAATAGAGAATCTGTATCTATTATTCCTAGCCCAAGTGAGATTAATCTCATCCCTTCATCTTTTTTTAGTAGTAATTTAATAAATAGAGAGAAATAAATAAAAAACTCAAGGATAATAATAGAAATAAGTTGAATAAAATAAGAATAATCAATATCGTTTTAAAGAAAATATAAAAATTGAAATAAAGAAAAAAAATAAGAGCATCATTGGTTTAATAGTGTAGACATTGAACTCATAATGTGAAGAAGTGGGCTTGAACAGTTGTAGTAGATTTTTATGTTATTTATTTTTGTTTACTTTTTCTTTTATTACACTTATTTATTATTGAAATTATAACACAGCCCAGGCTAAGGGAGGGCAATCATTTGCTTTCTTAGTACAGTTAGTAAAAAAGGAGCATTCAGATGTTTATCAAAGGTCATTTAAAAAAAAATTATGAAAAAGAGTAAATAATATCAAATATCACAAAAAATAAAAACAAAAAGAACTGATATAAAATATTAATAATTGTGATTTATGGGATTTGTTGATAACGAAGTCTTTCTTGAAGAAGTTTTAAAGCTTTACAAATTATCAAAAACAAAAAAGTGTGGAAGTGTTTGGGTAACATTTAAACAGGGTTTGACTTTTTTCTTTTATAAATCATCAAATAAGTGGTGATGAATTTTTAAAAGAAATACATTAATCACCTAGCACATTTGAAAAAAGAAATTCCAGGACTTGCTTGTGATGGTTGTCTTGTTCGTGCAACAAATGGAAGTAAGAAATTTGCTACTATTGTCAAGCCAAAGGAAGTTGGTAAGTTTAATTCAAAGTTAACTACAATTATGAACACTCAATTTGGACTACAACGTTTAAATTAATTTTATTACACTTTTTATTAATTTTTGGTTTTTTTATTAATTTTATTAGATTTTAATAACTTGTCTATTCTTCTCATTCTGCATTATGATGATTTATTTTCCAATGACCTTTATTTAATATCACCTGTGTTTCATATAACGATTTCCAATATTCTAAAGTAATATCGTTATTTGGGTATATTTCATTTTGTGTTTCTTCTTTATTTTAATTTTGTTATTAGAATCAAACATGATTTTATTTGTATTGATTCTGATAATTTCATTTTTATTAAATTTAATTCTTTCTTTTATCATTGTCATCATATATTTTATGTACTTTATTCATTCTTGTGATTTAATTTTAATTTCATCTGCATCTTGTTCATTTAATCTCATGATGCATTTTATTCTGTACCATTTCCTTCCCTTGACTAGATCTTCTAATCTATTTATTTTCTTTAGGATTTCTTTTATTTCATCAAATTTATCTCATTTAAATTTATTTTAGAGATAATGATACATACACATTGAAATCATTTTCATATCTTCTTGTAGATTTTCTATTCTCCTGACCACACTCATTTATTATTTATTTCTCTTATTAATTTATCTGATTCTTTCCTTCTCCAGTAGTAATTAATATTTACACATTTATCTATTTTCATTCCTTTAACTTGAATGATGATAGAGTTAAGATATTCATTATCAATATCAGTAGAGTTATTTTTTATGATAATATTTTTTATTATTGGATTACACTCTACTTTCTATGATTGAGTTCACTTTCATTTTAATATATCTTTTAGTTATTTCTTTTATTTTATGTGACTTTTTAATATTATTAATGTATTCTTTCTCATTATTTACATTATTATTTATTATTTTTATTATATTTTCTATTTGTTCATTTCTTAATTTCTTATTTAATTTCTTATTTAACAAATTAATTGCAAAACAATACAACACATCAATTAAAATTCTATTTGTTTGATTTGTTGTGTTTTCTTCTCTTCTTTACTGATTATCATTTCTTGTTTTTTGATATTCAGTGTTTTGCTCTTTTATTTCTTTACAATTCATTGAAGTTTCTTTTATTTTCATTGTTGCTGATATTTTTATCATTGTTGTGAATTTATTACCAGTGTATTTTCTTTATTTCTTTAGGTGTTAAATTTCTTTATCATATTGAATGTATTGATATTATTTGGTACTGTTCTTGTTGTGTATTATTTTTTTTTCTTCTAGTCCTTATTTTTATTTCATCTTTTTGTTATTTGGTGTGTGATTTGATTTATTTCTTCTTTTTTTCTTCTTATCACATTGTCTCAACCACTTAATTTGAGCGTGTTTGAAAAAACTTTATTCCATTTAAAATAAAGCATGTTGAAGAAACTGATTTTACTTACTTCTCAACATGATGAAAACTTAATCATAAGTAACTCATACTTAATTTCTCTTTCTTCTTGTCATAATTACCTCATTGATTTCAAACAATATCATCATCATTTATTATTTCTATATCATTTCTCCTTTCTCATTCTTTTATGCCACTTTTATTATTATTAGTCATCATTTATTAATCATTTCTCATAAATGATTGTAAATTGTTTGTTCTTTTTATTTGTGTTTTCATTTATATTTCATTTTCATTTATATCATTATTATGTGATATTATCATTAATTGTCATGAATGCTTGTTATTTATTATTCTTTATAATCTTCTTATTTTCTTGTTTTTATTATTGTTATTTAAAACAATAAAAATGAAATGATGTTTACTATAATAATAAATAAAATGATGTGTTATAAACGTGTATTTAAGTATTTAATCATCTGATTTTAATCTGATATTTATTAAATTAAAATGGAAGAGTTAATAAACAAGAACACTCATTTCTTTAAAGAAGAAGTAGAAACACTTCCAAATATTCAACAATCAATTGATGATATTAATAAACATCATCATTATTATTTAGGATGTATTAAAAATGAAGTGTTTGAGAAACAAGATAATGAAACATATTCAGAAGCTATTAAAAGAGGAGAAGGAATATTTGACAGAATGGATGAAACAGAAAGAAGAAGAGAACTAGTAATAGAAAAAAGTCAAGAAATAATTAATCAAATAGAAGTAATTAAAAATAAAATGAAGAAAATAATAGAAGAATGTAATTCAGATTCTGAAATACTAAGTAAAACACGGAATGAACTAATAGATAAAATCATTTCAATTGAAGAAATGAACATGAAAGATAAAATATCCAGAACACCAAAAGAAAAAGATAAAATCACAGAATCATTTAACAAAAAGAAAAAAGAATGGAACACATATTATAGTGAATATTTTGAGAAGAAGAAGAGAAAAGAAGAAGAAATAAAGAAACAAGAAGGAGAAAGCATAGAAATAATGAAAGGAATGAATATCAAAGAAGAAATCAAAGAAATAGAAGAATGGACATCAAGAAAAATAGGAAATATAATATTTTATTCAGAAAATGATGAATGGAATAATAATAAAACAATATTTAAAGAAAGAATAATAAATAAAGAACATCTCATAATTATTATTGAAGATACAA